CAGAAATTATTTTACTTAATTGTGAGTACACAAATTTTCTCTACTACATCTTACTCAGTGTTTCAGCAGACTGTTTCTTTCATACTATATAATTTTCTGGTTGAATGTCAAGAATTAAATGCATTTTTGAGTTTGCTTGATGCCATTATAATATTTTTCAAATTCGATTGGCTTTTGAATTCTTAACAAGCTTCCAGGCTTGACCATTTGTCAATTTTTTTCGAAGTGTTAAAGTTGAGATTACTTTAGAAATGATCATGAAATGGTGGTTGGCAGAATGTTTGTTTGCCTTAAGGAAATGAAAACTTATTTTGTCTCTATTTTTTGCTTTTGCTTTTCGAAGTCATTGAGCAGCTCTTTCCAACTGAACAGGACGAAGGTTTGTAGGAGGGAAAAGTTTGTAGCACAGACTTAAATCGGAAATGTTTCACTTCTGTGTACCTTTTTGTTCATCACCATAACACTTATTACGTGCTATTTATATTTTAGCTTATCGTTCACAGTCTGCCAGTAAAATCACTTAGCTAAATTTAACTTTAATTACAAATTATCATTCTAAATGATACCATTTTGTATAGTAGTAGTCAATGACAAATTTACTAATCTAATTTATTAATTTACAAGTGCTAATCTGGGCAGTTTTTGCAAATTTATTCTAATAATTTCAATTTAAACTGCATAATTCATTAGAGCAACAATTCTTCTATCGATTTCATTTGTGATTGATGCAAATTGTGAATAATTCATTGGCATAAACTGATCAACGAAATCTTCCAATCTTCCAATACATATCAGTTAATCGTATATTTTGGCTCAATGCTCAAACCTGAATTGACTATTAAACAGTTGCTGTTATGTAAAGAAGAAGGCCCCCAGATTTTTTGTTAACAAAAGAATCAATGACTTTAATCGTTGAAGCAATAAAAGATTAGTTATACTGACTATCTGAAAACTCTCAATAGTCTGATAAATTAGTGAGATAAAGTTCCACTTGCCAGTTTCTGTTGATGTTTTATGACGATAATACCCTTCACTTTTCACACTTCTGCTTCATTTTCCTTTCCTGAACGCCACTGAAAGATTTCATTGGTATGTGAAAAAAATAAGTGTGTTTTTCGAAAATGACCCAACACATAGTGAGCAGTAGTACGTTATCCGTTTAATTGCTGACAGCTATTTTTAACAGTATCACGACGTTAAGTAAGCAAATCAGTTTACATTTGATCAATTTTGAGAGTGAATTAATTAGCGTAAAAGTCTGATGCTTCTGCCTCATCTCCCTTCATAGAATTAGATGAACTGACTGAAATTCGGAAGATTCAAATTACTACATCTCAATAAATTTTTGAATACAGTTAACGTGTAAGCAAACTTCGTCTCTTGATGACAAAGTTTTAACGAATTCTATAAAATTGCAATTGCTTATTTTCATGCAAAAAGATATTAAAAAAGTTCAGTTTTCAAATAATCTGCGTGTTTTTGTCACCTCTGAATGATTTCCACGAAGTTTTTGAAGAAATATTGGACTGAAGCAGCAAGTAGTAAAACCAGGAAATGAATCAGCTCATTTTCAAGATGAAAGTAATTAGTTTCAAAGTCATTCTGAATCATGCAATCATACTCATTTTTAGCTTTTATCGTCTCAAATTTTTTCATAAAAAAGATTTTATTTATTTACAGCCACAGCAGTTGTCCATAATTCAGCCATCTTCATGCATGACTAATTTTACGCCACAACCTGTCTTCAAATTCAACTCACTTCAACAAACTTTCTAATCTTTTCAATCTCTTTTAAATTATATTGACATTAATTTATTCTTTTAATGCAATTTCCAGTTCTTTAAAACTACGTGATCTATGATCACATTTCATGTTATCTTTATTTTGATCTTAATTGTGCATTCGATTCATACTGTAACAATTTCCAGCATTAAATCGTAATAAAACATTAAAAAATGAGTGAAAACATATGTGATTTTTGAGGCAAAAATGTGATAAATTATACGAAAGCAATGACATCTGAAAAGGTAATGTGTTAGAATAAATTTATGACTGCGTAGCCGTGTACTTGAATTTGGATCAATCAAACCTTAGAGAAAGATTTTAAGGATTAAATAAAATTCAGCATGGAAGTGATACTAGTGGTTTTGAGAGAAATAATCTAGCTGCTCATTCAGTCCATCTTCAGCAAATTTCACCAGCTGTCAGACAAACTTCATCTTCAATCGTCTGCCAATTCCACTTCTACTTTCAAGCATTTTATACGCGTCTTAGCTACGCTTATGCAAAATTACCTTTGGATAAGTGACAAATTCAGACATTTTACGCCATGCATTGTTGTGTCTTTACTAACAAAATTCTTTTTGTACGTTTCTGAAAGCACTAAAATCATTTCTGTTTTATCAGTTCGAATAATGGATAACCTGCCAATTCCCTAACAAGTACTAAACATTTAATTGCATCAGATTGTAGAAATAACAATTTTGTGAGAAAAAAACGCAAATTATAATGAGTTGCTATAAACTGTCCGTGTTTGTGTAGCGAACTAATAAAGAAGCAGCTCAAAGACATATCGTAATTATATTTTTCATTTTGGATATCGTTTCAAACTTGTACAGTTGATATAGTTCATTATTGTTCAATGATTCAATACTTGATTTCTATGAGATCGATTGAGGACTATTTCACAAAGAAGTCTTCGTTTCCTCTGTCTATACATTATGAACTAATGAAACAACACGTAAGCAGTAATTGAACTTCTCATACCTTTTTTTAATCAGTGAAAAGAATAACAAATTTATTAAGACGAGCTGCATTTTAAACTATGAGGAAAATTCGCCAGAAGATTGGCAAAAAATGGTTGGCTTCAGTCTGTCAGAAAAAAGTACAGAATGAATAGTGAAGTAGATAAGGTTTGTTTTCCATTTACATCAAATTACTTAAAAACTGCGTGAACATTTCCGATTTCTAATTTCTGTTTTGATTATTTCCACTAATACATTATGTACATTAAATATATTATTGTTCACTCTTCTTTAGAGTGAAAGCTGAAAAACCCATCAAAAGTATTGGTATCAAAATTTGCGTGCTTACTTGTGAATGAAAATTTTCTGCAATGAAGGAAAATCATTCAAGTTTCTTTATTAATTTGCTTGAAATTTTGTTCCTACGACTTGGTTATAATTGGCTTTGTAATTCTATGCTAAAATAGCAAAAAAAAAACAAAAAAAACGCATGTTTGATTTTTGATTAATATGTAAATTACATGCAGTACATTACTGGTATTCATTCACTGAAGAAGCACTGACTAATTTTTTAGTACTTGACCAACAATATTTTCACCACCGTCTCAGACTCAAAACTAATTTCACGAGCAATTCTGAGATAAGTTGCCTGCCTAAAAATATTTCAGAATAACAAATCTAGATGAGCCTCGGAAAGAAGTGTTTTGTCCTAATATAAGTAAATAATTCAATTTTGGTGCGTGTTTCAACAACAACAGAAACTAATGAAAACAATTGTAAATAAAACATTTCTTCTACTTCTTTTTAAAATTAAACAAACTTCTTTAAATTGCAATTTACTTTTAAAAGTCACTAAGATTTAACTGTAAGAGAAGATTCGTAATCACTGATTGTTTCAGGCTTGCATAAGCTTAATTTGAATTGGCGAGGCTCGTTGAATATTAATTTCATTGCTTGAATCAAATTCAAAACGTCCTTTTTCTGTTGCTTTTTTCGCCTTTCTTGCATTAACTGACTCAGCAGATGCCAGAAGTTTGATGAGTCAATTTTAGATTAATTAGCTAGAAAAGGTGGCGTTGATGAGTGCTATGTTTAAGGCTAAATAAACGTAATATAGCTAATTAATCTCTATAACTAACGAACTCCGATAATTTTCTAATTTGATCAAATTCAGATGGCATTAGTGCGAGCTTTAATCCATCCATCTATCCATCCATCCATCCATCCATCCATCAATCCATCCATCCATCCATCCATCCATCCATCCATCAATCCATCCATCCATCCAACTATGCATTCATTCATTCCATGTCTCTTCCCATTGTATCTTCCAACAATTTGCTCTCTTCGCTTGCACTTTTTTATTGTTTATGCTGTCTTTGAGGATATTTATTTCTTTCTTCAATACTTTCAAATGCTACTATCATTGAGGAACTTTCCGATTAGTGAAAATAACTTTGCAGTTTCTTGCTGCTAACAAGCTGGAGAGCCCTTACTGTTTGCATTACTTACTTTCATTTCGTTATTTGCCAATTATCTAAAGTACAAAACTGAATTACTCAAATTTTTTATCGCTTTTGGCGAGCATTCGTTTTGGTCTTACACACGTAATCAGCAGTGTTGACTAATCAAATGTAATAAAATGATGCTCACAGTAGCTGAAGAAATTATGTAGTGAGCATTTTTCATGAAGTTTTCAGCACATCGATTGCATGTCTGAATCTCGAATAATTGAGTTCGGACTCATGGGATTGAAGCGGGCTTTACTGAGTTCAACTCGTTTCCTTCCATTAGTTACTGCAGAGAAGGGGCAAGAAACGCGAAATTTGCATCTGAATGACTGCTTATACACATTTTTGTTTGCTTTTTCTCACTTTTACATTTACTTAGCATTAAAAAACTTTCAACTTACAGCAAGCAAATTGTCGTCATGCATAAATATTCTTATTTTTGCACTCTGATAAAATATCGTATAAAACTCATTACAATGCATTCATGCAACATTTTGTGTCCGAAACAACATCCCAATCGCAGCTTCTGAAGATTACTCTTTCATTCCATAATTGCTTGGAATTTTTTCTTACTTTATATATAACTCTCTCGTTATGAGTTAAGCTGTGTGATGTCATTCGGCTAATATTCGAAAAGTATAATTCTTAAGTATTATTATCAGCAAGTAGTGAGATAAGCTGATAAATGAGCTTCCACGACTCAATTAAAGTTTTTCTACGTTCTGAAAGTTTTCTACATGTCCTATCAACGTTTTAAAAAAAATTAAAAAAAATTTTAATTTTTTTTTGTCGCACTAAAACAAAATTTTATTGCATTAAAACAAAGTTTATTTACATACACTTAATGCAAATAAATTAAATACACAATTAAAAGTGTGTAAGTTATTTTGATGTCATATTTAATGGGCAGTTAATCTAGGTATGTTCACTTTTGCATGCTTTTTTAATGACTGTCCAAAATTTGTTGCTTTTGAATATATCTCGTAAGGATTAAATTTTGGTTATACTCCTAATGAAAGCTCATTTTTCATTCCATTACCATTTCCCTTTGAGCAAAAATATGAATAAATGAATGTACGGATGAATGGATGAATATATGGAATGTCATCTGAATTAGTTTTATTTTGCAGAGGTCGAAGTCCGCAGATATCCATCCATTAAAATAGTATTAATACAAGGAAAGGCAAGGAAAATTTTAGTTTTTTCACAAGTACTCCACAAAATATTATTCGTTTTATTGCAGTGCCACTTTGCTTTGTTTTTCCATCTTTGGCATTATATTTGCAGTGCTGCGCTCCTTTCCTTCCTTCTTCTAACAATGAAACTCAAACAGAATTTTCTTTACGTTTGTTGTTACTTTTTCCTAATCACACATGCTAAATCTGTTAGAAAAGCATTAATAAAGCAGTCAAGTATGCAATTATTTCTGCTAAAAAGCTGCCCTGTCCGTAATAAAAATGCTCAAAATTATGACTAAAAAGTTGTTGGTAGTTCAGTTCACTAATAATGCCATATCCATTTACAGTGAAAAAAATTCAGTGAAAGTGAAAGGCAAGCAAAATCTAAAAGTTATAATTAATAGAAGCATTAATAGCAATGACAGTAATGATTTACCTCATTGTTATCATCAAAATCACTACAGCATTGTCATCAAGCGATGAGAAGTAAGCGTGAGACTTGTGCAGTTTTACGATGAATAACGGATCTTAGAATAGTCTATTCTACACGCTCCAAAAACTTCAATTCAGTCTTAATATTTCTGAATATTTCAACTTTCCCTCTACCACTCCATTCCACTCATTTCGTTCCTTCCTTCCATCCTCTATTCGAGAAAATTATCCCAACGTAATCATAACCTGTGCGCGTGTGCGCGCTTGTACTCCTAATTTATACTGTGTTATTTGCTAATTTTTAACGATTTTGTTTTGCCATACTCGTAGTCATTGTCTTAGTTTTGCTCAGATGATGAGAACACTTTATTTTATTGCAAATCCATTCACTTTTTCGAGCAAATAATCTATTAGCCTGCCTTCTCTCAGTTACGTATCAGATAAATGATTTAATATCAAAAATGAGCTCTTTGCTACACGCATTGCTCAATTATTTAGCATTTTTTAAGTTGTTTGATTTGTTTTTTATAAGCCTGAATTCATTAATGCTGTAGTCTGATTCTGTATGGACGTAAAACAAATCTTCTGGATTATTATTCAGTCCATGCTCTTCAGTTATTACCAAGCAGGAGGTAATAATGACTCATTGGATAGAACTAAGCTTAGACTATTGTTTGATTAAACTGACTTTACCAGAATCTTCTCCCCACAAAAAAAAATGAATACGTATAATATTATAGCAAAAAATGATGACAAACACAAATAAGTGAAGAGATAACCGAGGCCTTGAATTTACTTTTAATTTGTTTGTCGGGCACGCATTTAAGGATTGCTGACAGATTCGTCTGAATTTTTATATCCATGTAATTTTACAGAATTATCTTGACGCAACCAGTTACATACTTTCCCTTTTGCATGCAAGAAAGATATATTATTTCCATACGAATTATATAAATTTTTTAATATATGAATTCCGTATGTAAATTTTTTTACTACATCAGGAAATGACAGAAGCAAACATAAGCGAAACTTGTGAACAACATAAGGATGCAAGTTCACACCGTGGATTCAGTCAAAAGGTTAGGGGAATATTGCTGGAATCGCCATCAGTCACATGTGACAAATTACCGGTAAGCAAAATCTTCTCACACATTTCCTCAACTCCGAGACATGCTATGTTGCAAATCAGAGATAAAAGAAGTAACTTCGTTTGACTTTTTTACAATCTAAACGTGGCTTCAGCCAATAATAATTATTCACAGCCTGTCATGTACTAAAATTGGTCAATTTTTAGAGTTAAAGTTATAAAAGGAGAGTTGTCGGTGACCAAATTGAGTTATCTCAAACTTGATTTTTCCCTTTTAATTTGTTGCAAATTTTTGTTGAACTTTCAACTTTCAAATTTTAAATTTCTTACTCTTTTCCACATCAAAACTATTGAGATATAACTTTTATAACTTTAACCGTGCTGAAATGACTCATTTCTTCTCTTTAATCTGATCGAGACGAGCAGATTGCTAGCTAGTTCAATATTTTCAGAATGTCACAGATAAAAGTTCGAAAAAAGACAGTCAAGCAGCACCTCATCGAGGTTTTAGCGAAAAAGCACGAGAGGTACTACTAGATCGAAAAGCTCCAGGTATTTTATTGATTTCTCACCAAAATAACTAATTAATAAAATTGTTTTGACACGATTTATGCATTAACCGGTAATGATTGTATATAAACAATTGAATCGTCGCTGTTTGATCAAAATTTATCTCCAATACTATTAAGGGCTGAAATTGAAATGCTGTTGCATTCAAAACCTTATTCAGGTGAATATTCGTATAATATGCGTGCTGATAGATATGAATTAGGCGTGAAAGAGTAATGGAACATGCTCCCTTCCGCGACATGTTCTTCTACATTAAATGATACATATTAAATTGACATTGATTGAAATTGAATCCAAATTTCGATCCAATTTTACATTTAGTATACTTCGAATTCATACTCAATATTAACATAGACCATTGCTAATCAATACTAATACAAATTTAATTTAATCAGAAACTGCAGCTCGTGAATATAACTTTGATATTCTGAAGTATAGAAAACAAACAAACCAATAAATGAAAAATAACTAGATTCGAAATCATACTAACAAGTTGTTTCCTTGAAATGCTATCAGAAGATAACAACTACTCAAACTGAGTTCACTCCTTGACTTATTTTTTAAATTGATGTTCTTGGACAAGTCAAATCTTATGACTGAAAAGAACAGTTTAGAATTACGCAAAAATAATAATATATTTGAACCTTGAAGCAGTTTTTATAACCTTGCCAAGCATTACCATTTTTTTAATTTCCAAGTATTCATCTACTTTAGGCTGATTAGAGTACTCTTTCAGTTATACAATATCAGTGAGAATAGTGTTCAACTTTTATCAATGATATTAGAAATATTAATATTTAAACAAACAATAATATTATTGATATGAAAATTAAAGAGATCAAGATCAAATACTGTTAAGAATACAATTCAGTGCAATTTTTTGTTCTTATGTCAAAATAATTCTTTAATCCCAAAATATGTCTATGATTTTACACTGCTTGTTCCTTACTTTCAAGCCATCCCAACGGTCGGTAGAACTAAGAAATTGTTAATTTTAAACACCGGTACCGGGTGAGCAACACAATACTTGTTAAAACTGAATGACAAAACTGTCTGTGCTCAAGTCAGGTACAGTAAGTTCATAAATAACAAATAAAATGTAATGATTTCAGATAATGCACAAAACTATATTATAATAACATTAATATATTTGCAAAGAAAGAAATCTCGTCTGTCAAATATGAGATTTACTGAGGAAATTATTTCAGTTTCATCTTGAAGTCGCTCAAAAACTCCCACTTCAGGTACAGTCCCATCTAAAGTGAAAGGCAGCGAGAAAATACGACAACTAATTTGACGAAAAGATTTCGGTCCATAACTCGGATGAAATAGAAAACCAGCCAACATTTACAACTGATGCGACTTACGAATTGTTCCCAATTCCAAAATGACCACACTTATTACCTCACCAATGCTACAAATACTATTTACTACAGCAAGGCTGCTTTTCTCCGTGAACTATAGCTTCTAACACTTGAGTCAGTATCCGTATTTTGTGCTTCCTTTATGCGAGCGTTCTTAGCTCCAACCGCATTTAACAGCAACCTAGTCATATTATATTGTTGCTCCATATTTTCTGTAATGTAAATATCATATCAAACAGTTCCTAAAATAGTAATGGACCTAATTTGTTAACTGCATCATGAAAGATTCCCTCAAAATTAAAACTCTGAATGATGAGCATAACAATCTAAGAGTTTGACCTCAGCTACAACATTGCGCATGTTAACAACCGACCTGCTCTTGTAGTGGAAAATATAAGCAGACACATTTCTTAAGTTTGCAACATCATTGCGATTCCACCTAAAGTCCGATGTATGTAGACATCGTAGTACTATTTATTTGACATTTGAAATATAAATCACTCATCAACAATTTAAATCACAGAAATATTTCTGGCTAACTTGGAACAACAGGTAGTATTAAAATACATAAAAAAATTCAACTAAACGGGACTGGGAATGGATGACTCAGCAGCTCAGATCACACATATATACATAAGTCAGTACAAAATAATCAGCAAAATTTAAACATAGAGCAGTAAGAATTAAGCATTCCTATAGAAAAACTGATAAGGAATATATAATGCTGACAAGAGAGCAGCGGTTATATAAGACAATATCAACTTAGATGAGCGATAAAAAGTTAAGATGAAAACTGAACGAAAACAAAGAAAAGGGCTTCGGTAACTGAACTAAATATTGCTTGGGGAACCGACTTTAGTATATTCCATCATACTTACGTGCACGGCATGGACGTACGAATACCATTTAAAAAATAAAAATCAAACAATTTACAGTCCTAAAACGGCACTATGTATTTTTTTTATTACCGAAAAAAAAATGTGGCTAAGAAAGAGCAATTAGATATCATACTCAAGAATGCTCGTATAAGTTGAACATTTTGCAAAATCTACTGATTAGCCAAGACTTTCATTGCAAATGATACAATCAGTTTTTGAATTAGAAATAAATGAATATGCTAGCAACCGTAAACAATAATAATAAAGTAATTAACAAAAGATAAAAAGCTTTTTGTTACTTTTAAGCAGTAATACTAATGATACTTTAGCTTGAAACATAGTGCAAAATGAGAAATTATTTTCTATGCAAGCATTCTTGTTAAACAGTACTAATGCTTATAAAAAGTACAGAAAGAAACAGTCAAAACTTTTTTCCTGCCCTGATGATGAAATACTAATTATACAAAAAAATACAATGGTTTAATACATATACAATAATTTTTACAGTCATAACAAAATCACAACCAGAGCTTTTAAAACATTCAATGTACACGTATTTTGTGAACTTCAATTTGCAGTGCCAGAAAAACACCAAAAGGACAGGAAATCTATAGGAAGAAAAATTAAAACTTAGTACTTAAAGCAAACAGAAATATCAAATAAACTTAAAAATGATTAAAATAAAATCAAAAAATGAGAATAAGAGTACTAATAATTCTTAACTACGCATTAATACTTGCCAACACTCATGTGACATGAGACTTTATGTGACTACCTGTGAATGCTAGCACTATGTGGGATTTTTGGACCTTGCATGTATTGATCTTGCAGTGTGAAACCATCAATAGTAGCCGAAAGGTGCTTTGTCGGTATATGAGAAAATTTCTTTGCACCCGAATCATACCTTGCAAAAATAATTTTTTAAACAATACTAGTTTCAAGAAAAGACTACATAATTATTATTGAGTGACGAACACACTAATTATATTCATTTCAAAAGTATTTAAATGGAAATCCTCTTTCAATTACTTAACTGAATCTAGAAAAAACTAGTAAATCCTACTTGAACATAAGGTGCATCATTGACTCATGGCAGATATTTGGACCCTTCCCATGAATACGATGCGCGGTGTCGGACTGCTGATCCCAACTGTATGCACCCAAATAACGGCATTTTTGATCTCGAAACAACAACAAGAAATGCTTACTATCGCTTTTAGCTAATTCACCCAGGACCTGTAAATAGTATTCAATTTTTCAGTAATAAGAGTAAAACCCGCTTTTTCAAAAATATAAAATGTGACAGAAAACTAAAACTTTAAACGAAAGCAATGAAACCCACTTCATTCCGCTGCTTATCCCAGACGTTTCCAGGAAATACCAAATACTGTAAAGCATTTATAATCATCGATCGATTCGATTTATGAACATATTTCGAAAAAAGCTTCAGTGCTGAAATTGACATTTTGCTGAATTTGTAACCACCATAATGAGAACGAATCAAACTTGATTCTTAAAATGAAAGTACACTAAACATATAAGTGTTACTTGGTTCGGCCGTACTTGGAACGGTTACTCGAGCCGATGATGAAGCATTGCTCTCATCGAAACTACTCTGCGGTCGACTAATACGTTTCATACGATTATTTATTCCTTCCTTAAAAAATAATAATTGCGTAGCATCTTCAAGATTTTATAATAATACAAAGAAGAAATTGAACAATTTTTGATTGAATAGTCAAAAAAGAAGTCTCTTTGAATAAGAATAAGTGAACTGAAGTTCTTATCCTCTACTATTTCCTACTTTCTATAAATTTAGGTCGAGTAAACGAGAATATTTAAATCATATTATTAAAAAGGATTGAAGAAAAAAATTTACCGTGTTTTTTGATCGCGGTACAATAGGCGGCTGACTATGTCCCCGACCATTACAAATTTCATTATTTTCCATTTCCTTTTCCACTTTTTTCCGTTTATAATCATCCAAAATTCTCTGTCTGAAATTTATTTCTGAGTTCTTTGTCAATACCCCTAGCTTCAATTTCAAAAATTCTTAAAAATAACCTCTGCAATTCACGTTCACGTTTTCGTTGTTCAGCAGCTTCTTGTTTTTCAAGCTCTGCTTGTCTTCGTTCAGCATTCCTTGCTTCCATTTCACCGACTTTCTGCTCTATCTGCTCACGGCGTCGTAAAGTTTTCGCTAACAGTGCTTCACGTTTCGCTTCCATTTCTGGAGTCTACAAAGAATATATATCAATGTTATGTTTTGGCTGTACTAAATTTTATTACAAAAAAGCTCCAGAAAACAAAAATGTCAAGTACATGAGTATAAGAAGAGAAAATCAAGAGTTTGACATATATAATTATACAGCCAAAACATAACATTGATATATATTCATTACTTTCCGGCAGCTACAAAATTTTGAATACCGATGATGACTGCATGAACATTTTTTTAAATGTCCTTTCTCATTTTCAGCAATTAACAATATGTTTTGCATTATCAATCAACCTATCTATCCATTAATTTATATGGCTATGTTTCTTATGACTCGGTCGCAAGCCTTACTTCTGTGAACAGTAATCAGTACTGTATGCAGTGAAGATAAAAAAATGCGCTACTAAACTAATGACTAATTTAAATAATGAATGAGAAAGTAGACTTGATATTCACTACCTTTTTTAGTGATTAAATAACTGAAGATAAAAAAATTTGTGGTTTATTTAAATAACATTTCCAGTTATGGACTAGAGTAAGCTAACCACATTTATAACTGATTTTTCAGTTACATCGTCAACAACAAATTGTGAACTCCGAGTAGTTGAAGGTTTCCGACTCACGGCTGTCGGCATATCGATACCAGTAGAAGAAATGGGATCTTTCGGTGGGCTTTGCTGATGTTTAGGTATAGGTGGCTTTTCTCTATTTTCTGCTGAAAAAAGGGGTTTCAATAACAACGAATCTGAATCACAGTAAAATTATGGAAAAATGATAAAGATAACCATTACACAAGCACAACTTCATGGATTGCCAAAAAAACAATTCGCGAATTTAGATATAAATTTTACAAATTAAAAAAATGAATATTACACTGATTATTGTAGGGCTCAAAATCAACTTGTTGCGGCGGATGCTGCACTTCAAAACCTTTCTGTGATGGTAGAAACTCTGACATTGTTCCATCCACACTTTCAGGTGCTTCTGTTTCCTGCTGCTATAAAAAGAAAGAAAATGATTTCTAAATTCTAGTTCTACAGCACGAAAAATGCTTCATAGCATTTTCTATTCCCAAACAGTAGAAACTTGAATAAGCAAGAAGTAACAAAGAATAGTTACTTGTTGGTACAGATGAACAGCAGTTGGAAATATAGGTTGACTGGAATAGTCAACACTATTCTGCGTAAATGCTCCATTATCCCAAGTACGTCTTTGCGGTCGAATAACTTGACCAGCTCTATAAGTGAGTCCCCAGTTCGTCAAATTTCTGTTTATCTCAAGAGATGGATCTAAGCGACTTGAGGATGCCTAAAAAATGAAAGTTATAAGTGATTCCTTGACGGAAATAAAAACTGGCCTAAAATCTATATAAATTTGGATGAGACATTGAATAGAAAAAAAAGAAAAGAATAAAATAACATCATTCTGATGAAGTCGAAATGTGTTGCTCGCGATAGCAATAGAATTAGCAGCAGCAGCAGCATTAGCAAGCATATAAGGGGAGTTTCCAACAGACTGCGAACTAGAATCATGTGAACGTGATACATAGCCTCCATCTGAACCCAGTTGATATCGTGTAACTGGCAGTTGAGGATTAGGAATGATACGAGATGAGTAAGCACATGCTACTGACTGAGAGTCTAACTGGCTGGAATACCCATTCATTGACATCTAGAAAAAATAACTGGCTTTGATGATTTAGCGAAATGCTTGAAATATTTAAAAATTAAAAAGTGAGCATTCAGTTGAAAAATTGTTCTAATGGATAAAAAAAAGCTTTGGATAATCACATTAAAAAATCCTCACAGAAAACCAATATATAAATAAATTATTTCATTGCATCATAAATAAAAATTGGGATGCTTCATATAACCGAAAAGATTAAGATCTTTTTTATTTCACCAAAAGTTAATAAAATACTACAGATGAAGTGATCCAAAAATAAGACTTATTTTTCAGTTCTGTTTAGAAAAAAAACCTGTAAACTTGGCACTGGATACATCTGGTTTTGCTCAGAGAGATGAACAGATGGTGCGAATGTTTGTTCTACAGGCGCAGCATAAGGCGTTGCATAGGTATGATATTGTGACTGATGCGTCAATTTTGTTATGTTATGTGGTAGGGTGGCATATGAATTATTGAACCCATTATTTGGTTCATTTAGTAACCCAAATTCTAGAAAAGTATAAACAACTGATAACTGGGATTAGTGGGTCAAAAAACACGAATCAAAATAGAGTTTCGCCGAGTATGCATTGTAACAAGGATTGCATGATATTTTTTAATAAACTGAACTTTTAAAAAGAAAGCAATCTCTATCTCTCCAACATTCAAAAACATTCTTGTTACAAGTCCAAAAAAAGTTGATGAAAGCGATTAAAATTACCAAGAATTACCAGTGTGAATAGCGGGTTGAGATGTTGCATGAGTCATTTGCCGTTGCTCATCAACCTGACGACTTAGATGCTCCTGCTGTAAGCACATCTCTTGCAGTCGTTTCTGTATTACCAATAAATTAGCAACAGTAAATTACAAAATCAAGTATAGAGAAATAAAGACAGTATTTCTTTACACTTACTTGCAAATCTTGCACAGTTTCCTTTAGGAATGATATTTCTTGCGATTGATAAGCATGACTGCTACCTACTTCACTCGTTGCACGCGATCGCAGATCAGAATTCTGAAAAATGATACGTAGTATGAAAGTCTTCTAACTTATTGAAATTCCCACATTATCTCTTAACATTACGGTGCTATTTCAAAAAGATACCACTTTATTTCTGAAGGTTTAAAAACTATAGAAAGCACACTATATAATTATCACCAAAGCATAATACGATTCATCATTATCATCAAATTTTTATCAAAAATGATTTCTTGCGGTGAACATAAAAACTGTGAATAAAAACTGCTATTACAGGTATTAAATAACTTTTTACTTTTTCCAATTTTTGCATTAGAGTGAAAAAAGCATCTTTCTGTTTTTGCACGCGCTCTGATTCGCTTTGATTCCTAAAAATAATTTGAGAATTTTTTAGAAGAGTAATTATTAATTACTATGGATTACTGAAATAATATCTAACGGAGAATAACCTGTTTAAGTCTTTAGAAAAGGAAAAACAATTAAAAAATGTGTTTAAAATCAAGATTTTCGAAATATCAATTGAAACAGATACTTTACTCACGTACGTTTCCAAATAACGTCTTTTCTCATGTTCTCGTCGTTTTTCTTCTAGTGCCAAACGTACACTTGCTGCAGGCATTGAGTCACTACGCATGTAGCTTATTCCTTGAGAGCAACCACTAGCTGCACCACTTCTGAGATCACCATACATAGTCTAAAATTTAGACTCAAAAGCTTTTTGAAAATCCGAAAGAAAGCAATTTTGGAATATTTCTGATGTGATGACATTTTTAATACTGCATGAATAGTTATCACAATTAAAAAAGTACCGATTCCAATATCCAGTTTGTTCTTTTGTTACTTCATCCCTAATATTCATAGTCCTTGAGGCAAAGCAAAAAAATGGATACAAAAGACTGCTGCTTACCAATTCACTAAAGTTTGTTTTTTCGGAAAGGCCTGTATTTTTTTTCTGATAACTGCACCGTAATGAATCCCCAGATCTGCAACTTCAAATTATCACACAGCGCATTCAAAACAGACAGCTTTTAACACCTACCAAGCAAAAATCAGAAAGCTATAATTGTGAACAAATTTAAATACAAAAAAATGACCACATAACTGAGACAATAAAAATTAATCATTCTCTTCAAATCACTAATAAAATAATCAAATTTAAAGCGCACCATCCTGATCATAGATAACATGCAACACTTATTGCATACTCCTTGCATCACAAGGAGCTATTCAATCCACTAAAATACTATACACACCCTTCTCATCATTTTGGTATATCTTATTATTTGCTATATGAAGTAATCCACAACTTCTGCATAAATAAACTTCTTAAAACATATTAATCAAATCTAATCAATTCTTAGTTCTACACAAATAGAAAAGATGCCTTAAAAATATTTTGTATCAACAAAAACAATTCATATTCCATTAAAAAAAAGAAAAGCCACATACTTGGTAGGCAACAAAGAGTCGGAGGACATAGCGGATAAAGCTGCAACAAATACTTTTTGAGGACGGAAAATCAATCAGAATACACTAAGGCACACATATTTAGCTAAACGATTTTCTTATCTTTATTGCGAATTAACCTCCTTCGGAATAAAAAAACATGTAGTCTTCTAAATCATAATTTCTTTACTGATTTTCATTTTTTCAGTTTATTTATGTGAGATGAATATTGTCTATTCAGCGCGGAATTGACAAATAAAATGAAAGTATCAAGTGTCATTATGATTCCGCCTTTGTCAAAAAACAAGTAATTTGTGATACAGAAGCCAACGAAATCCATGTTCCTTTTCAAACTTTACTTAAAAAATTACTTCGAGACATTTCAGGTTGTAAACGAGATCTGAGTTGATTGACCGTTTTACTTCCAGCATTATGAGATCGTAATTCAGGTATGCCTTGTATAGGCAAAAAGTGTCTAGAACGTACAGTAGGAGAATCGACTGAGCCTATGTAAAAAAAAGAATGAAGAAAGTTATCTGCGACTAGTATACAGAGATTATAATCTTAGAATTTGCTAGATTAGTGCCAACTTTTTTTAACGCCATCTCCTTCGAAAATCTGGAACAGATCTGCCAAAAAAGCATTTAAATTTGCCTGTAAACTTTCATGGAAATACAAGATATCTTCAACAGCAAAATGAAATGGATTCCACGATAGAGACGAGCAAAACTTCCTAAAACATTCTTTTAAATCATTTTTTAATTTAATTACTTTTATATAGGAGAAATTTCAATTTGATACAAAATGTCGATTAAAGATATTGAAAAAAGTTTCACAAAATACGCCCTTTACTATATTTGTACTACTTTTAAGAAAACCTGCCAACAATATATGATAAAATAATTCGTAAAAAAGAAAATACTACATTCGTAATAAAACTAGGCTCACAATGATTAGAAAAAAAAGGCGTATTCTTCCTTGCAAAGCACTATAAATTTTGAGATTAACATTGAAAAGAAAGATATCTAATAGTCACTTTAAAAAGTCATTCCAACTTCCAAAGCTTAAAAATTTGACCATACCTTTTTCATATATAAAAATAAGACAAATAATACCTAAGAAGCATTAAATTATAATGGCAATCACCAAGACTCATTGGATCATTGAAACATATATCTGAAACATTTTTTCTTTTATTCTATACCGTATTTTCATGACTGATATGAAATATCTGAAGATAACAAACTTCGTATGTTCATTTCATTTGGTCGATAAAAAGCTATAAGTGCGCAGATACAGGCACCATCACACATGTCTTCATATAGGTCTTCCATTTCAGGCACTACTATTGATCCATCTGTGATATTTCAAAAATGCTTATTTAAAAACTTCGAGATAAATACAATTTCAAAACAGAATCACACTAAGAATAGCTGTTTTACTATAGTATTACGAATCAGTAACTAAAAGTTAAACTTGAAATTTTTTAACATGAAATGTGTAAAATTAGCGAGAATGAAAAAAATTTTTGAATGAGTTTAGTAGAGTGATAATGAATTCTTTAAGTTAAAATATCGTTCGTCAAAGAGATATTTTAATACATTAAAGGAAAATAACGAAAACATCTACTGATTCGCAATGATATCAATTTTGTTTAAGAAACAAGTCAATTGCAAAATTATTTTAGAATTCTAAAAAATTTTGCTAATAGACAATGAAGGAACATAAATGCAAACAAAAGTAAAAGCTTTGATAAGCGGAAAACATTCACAATGTTTCCTGCTATTTTTATTCATCAAGCCATATTTTTCCATATCATCCCTGACCAGTAAACAAATTTTATTAATCCAAAAAAGCAGTGCATCAACAGCATCCATCGGTTCTTCTCTTTTATCCACTGTCGTGTAATTCCTGTACTGGATAAACAGAATAAAAGAACTATAGTAATGAAACGAGAATGACACACACAGGTGATAAAGTACGTATGAATAATATATGTTTATTCACTTTATAGATAACTAAATTTAAAGGGACAGAACAATCTTTTTCCAAACTTCCGACATACTTAAAATATTGGAAACGAATGAAACGAAATATAACACTGCAGTACGAAATTAAAACAAATTCCGACTAACAATAAACCAAATTTTTAAACAAAATTTCAGTACCAATTCGACAGTAGTTCAATTTCATAAATGAAAGTCAACTTACTGTACAGCCAAAACAACCCTTTCGATTGTAATGATAGATCGCATATGCGCAATCATTAAAGAATCGATTACTGCCAAATGTGCAGACTGCAAATATATGAAAAAATGTAACTCTTAGAATATAAAGTGTCTTAAGAACAAGAAATATGCGGGCAACAAAAAAAATTTTACTTGATAAAAAGGTTGGATGGAAGACAGCAGTGGTTCGTTTATATTTTCTTCCTTACTGGATGTTGTAAGCGGAATAGAATGGCTTTCTAACGCCCGAAGTACAACACTATGTGACTTCTTAAGTTTATCAAATAAGATTTTTATTGGATAAATAATAAATGTAATGCTGTTGATGGTCATGTATTTTTAGCAATTGATCACCAAACGTAATTTTAGTTCTCCACAAAAATTTGGCAATGTGAGATGATTTGAACATCGAGTTTTGTGCAATGTTGTTCACAAAATATTGTATTTTTAAAATATAGCTTACATTTATAAGACTTTGATCTTTGAAAATTTTGGCAGCAGCACTACTATACAAGGATGCATTAGTCAAACCCGTCATTACAGCCTCTTCAAGCTGGAACGTGTTCTGGAAACAAAAATAATGACATTTCAATCTAATACATCTCAAAAAAATAGTTATTTTGATATTAGAAAGCATATGATTAATCTGTATTACAATTGTACTGAAAAATTTATCTTGTTCAGATAGTAAACTAAGCACGATGGCAATATCTATCATTTGTTCATCTTATTAGGAAGAAATAAGTCAATCGAAAATCAATCGTTAAACTATTTGCAGTGAAGAAATCTATAAGGAATGACAAATAAATCTGAATTTGTAGCATATGTCTTACTTTTCAGAGAAAGAGATAGAAGGAACTTACATTTTTATTTTCTCTAATAGGATGAAGCAAAAGATCTGGAGCCATACTTCCATAAGCTCGTCCAATTAACCATTTTACAGAAGCACTCAATTTACCCTACATGAAACTGTCCAAATTTTTCAAGAATTATTTTAATCAGCAAAGAATAAATCAATTATAAAATTCATGTCTCCCATGATACTCTACTCTCTCATTCTTAGAGGTCACAAACAATAAAATTATTAGCTGCTGATAGCTCGATTTTTGTTTATATTTGTTCACAATCCGACTAAAATTTGAAATTTTGGCAAACGCGAATCATCAAAATGACTTCGATTACTGCTTACATAATTCAAGTTATTTATAGCGAAATAAAATATGGACGAACTTTTTCAACATTGTAACAATTAATGGGAACGATTTCAGGAACAGAATTCTCCATTTCCGTCATTGATGTAAGTTCCTCGCAGCAAGCAGCCCCCACACGTAACGAAGGCAGCTACCCGTCTAAAATAAAATACATGTGACACGAGCCTACAGTTACCAGCATATCATGCGGTCATCTACAGTAGCCAATGTTTTCAAATTCCGAGCGTATTTCTATATCGGCATGAACTAACAAAGGAATGGAACTTAATGAAACTGAATCTATATGTTTTATGGAGTCAGCAAAAACGTTGCTTCTACACTGCAAAGTGAAAAATTATGATGCTATAGAGAATTTGAGCAATAACCCGACGGAACCACACTCAAATTATTGAACTGAAAGCACAGAAAGAAAAGAAGACCAGAAACTCATAAGCGCGTATCTACGCAGTGAGCCTGTCAGAAATTAATAATAAAATGTGCCTAAATTAACAATAATTCTATTACCAATCCATAGAGTAGATAAGAAAGTTAAAGTTCTCATATTCGAGGAAATGCGGAAGAGTCAGACTTCAAAATCTTTGACTTCAAAATGATTATGACTAGAATTAGCCACGAAAAAGCAGTTTCATTTTGATGAACATAGAAATATGGTACTATAAAATGATGATGATTCTCCAAAATTTTTCAAATTCTTGACTGAAAATAATTTTATAGTAGAAAATGCCAGATAAAAAACTTGTTCTTCTGCAGCCAACTATCCTGCGAAATTGGCGTAAATTAAAACTTAGAATTTGGTTAAAAACGAAAATCAGGACACACTTGTGCCTCAAACGTAATGATGTTATCGTCAAAAGATCCTCCCTGACAGAGCAATGACAGTAGCAAAAAATTAATTCATGGACTAATAGTGCTCGCTCAGTCTCGCTATGAAAACAATTTCATCTCCTATAGTCTGATATTCCTTTCTACTGAAAACGTTTATCACACCATGCAGCTGTGACGGCTTAATTTCCACTACTTTACATCACTCTCGAAGACGTAACACTTAAAAATATCAATTGGGAGGGCCAGGAAATCACTAGAAAGTTTGGGTTACGAAAACTGCCGAAATATCAAATTTTTCGATGTATAATGTTATTTTATTTCTCATTCAAATCGATTAATTATAAAATTAAATTCATCTATTTTTAATTACAACAGGCAATGCCAGCACTTGCAACTTAAGAATGGTGTCACCTGAATCTCTTGAAATGTCAGTAAGGAAATTCTCTCGCTGGATAACGATTCCTTGCGAAAGAGTTCAGGGTCGACAATAGTAAAATTGCGATGAAAAAGCTGTGAGAATACGAAATCAGCAAATCAGTTTGATTGCACTCCCCTCAGGTTATTTCGTTCGATCGGCGAATTACACTTTACCCAAATTCTTCTTCAGTTTATTATTTTATAGTTTGATTTACCACACATTTACATCTGTAGAATATGCAAATATGAAGAGATTACACTTGAGATCGATGAAACAACAAGCAATAACTGGCAGACAGTGGACAACAATTGTAACTGTAGAGAGGCAGTAATAATACAACAATTCCAACTTGTCTTCTCAAAGATCAAAGGTCAAGTGCATCACAAATGTTCACAAAGTTATTATCATTATTATTAGTGTTGTCATTGTTAATGTTAACTTGGAATTAAGTTCCAGCATACAAGTAAAAATTATCACTGTGAAAAGCAATATCTTCCAAATAATTTTGCTCCATTTGCCTAATGATCTCGTGACCAATGCAAAGAATTACATGTTATCGCAGTTTTGCACCTTTTCTTTTTAATTATTCATGTTTTTTCTTGTCCATTAGTTACTGGAGACTATAATTTGCAGTTTGCCTACTAATCACCGGATTATGTCTGCTTACCCTCAGTAATACTGTAAATTTATGCATATAAGTTCGAAGTTTGAAAACTGAAATTTGTATGGAATTTTGGAAGCGGATATATGTTATGATCAAACTGATCTGAAAAGACTTATGAGCTGTAGATCAAACTTTAAATTCAGTCAGAAGCCAAAACTAACGACGCAGTAATGGAACGAATTTCTTGTGACTCAAAGATAAAGTCAAAACGGAGCTGCGAACTCTTTTAAATGATGAAAATGTGAAGATTTTATGTAAACTGATGCCTTCTTCTGACATAGAAAAGTTGTCTTTCATCAAAGCTTTTTTCTTGAGCTGTCTTAGTCTAGTTTTTTTTTATTCGATACTGAATTTCCATTAGTGAATAATCTTTCCTATTAAACATTATTAAAGGTAGAATGGGACCTTGAGCTTCTACCGTTCTGCCGACAGATGCCTCACAGCAGAATCTGAAACTTTTACTCAATTAAACTTGCTAAGTAGATTTCAATCAGCTTTGGTTGAATGATCATTCTCCCAAAATTATTCGCGTTCAAATAACCGCAGTTACATATTTCGTGCAAACCTAATTCCAACAATCGCTCGACTATATGAAAAAATTAATTTGTTACCTGTAACCTGTTAATCTTTTGTCTAGATTAGCTTTCACTTCCAAACCAGCAAAAATACACCCTTCCGAACAACATCCTGACAGCGACTTTATTCTTACTTCAATTATTTCGTGTGCTTTAGCCTATTAAAAGACATGAGTGATTAATGAGTATCAAGTTTTGATTTAATTAATTTTTTTAGCTTGAATTCAGCTTTAAAACAAAATTTAAAACTTTTAATATTCCTTGCAATTTATATTCGTTCTATTCAATTTCATTATTGAAATTCGAGGGAAAAATAAATGGTATAGTTGGCAGTATTAACTATTTAAAAGTGGTAATTAGAAAGTATTTAAGAATCTGTAAGTGCTTTCGAATAATGAGCTGAATTGGGAATTATGAATTGAATTGTGAATGCAAATGGATTTCGAAAGTTAATAACTCAAGTACCTCAATCCACCAGTAACAATAAGACATTTCGTCCTTGTACCTCCCGTTACCCATTTCTGTACTCAAAACCTTCCACTGATGAGTTGCCCTCAAATTACCTCCACAACCCGATGAATCTGCCTGGAAGACCATTTATGGGACACTTCACTTCTACCTTGAGTTAGTTTATAGTCTTGAGATTAGAAATTTTAAAAATGAGAAAAATGACTAGAATGAATTGATATTGGGAGGATCAGAAGATTATTGTCCAATATCTTGCTTAATGATTAATTACAGATGTATGTGATCTATGAATTCTTCATTTCTAAATGAGATAAATTTGATTCAGTTCAAGTTAGTTGCAACTGTGCACGAATAAATTTGTCTTGATTTTTTGAAATTTATTGCATTTAAATTTTCCAACCGAAATCACTGATTCTATTTCAAAAAGTACAAATTAAAGAAGCTTGCCCGTTGATCACAATAACTGCCACCATATCCGGATGGACACAAACAGCGATTACAGTGTTTTGGATGTTGATACCCGCCATTTTTACACTGAATACTATACCGACAAAGATCTGAAATCATAAACAATTTGTTATTGCCTCGAACAGAATTAACTTCAAATTATTATGAGAAAAAAAATTTGCTTTAAATTATTATAAGTAATTATTCTCGAAAAATATACAAAATTTCTTTGTACTTTGCAGAATAAAATAATGAATAATTATTTAGTATGCATTGTTTTTACTTGAATACATACGATAAATAATTTTGCATTCTATATGTGACAGCATTGCTATTTTACATTTCTCAAAGACTACTCTTGCAATTTTCTACTCAGTTTATTCAAATATGAATATCAAAATTAATAAGTAACAAACTTGTGCATTTGTAATGTTTGTTCATCATAAGAATATCAATAAAAGTAGGTCCTGTGCCACTACCCATCGTATCTTCGTACCACGAAATGCGGGGGATTATTGTTGAACCATTGTTAGAAGTGAAACTTAAGATTATATAATTTTGATCAGAAAATGGTCACGTGTTTTGTTAAAACTTAATAAATTCAAGGTTGAATTCAAGCTGGAAGTTGAATTTTGCTGATGAAAACTCACGCTTTTTTGCTATAATGCATTACACTGCCGTAGTCGTATGGAAGATTATAGTTATAATTTGCATACTGAGCAGCACGCTTGAAATTTGAGGTCAGTCCGGTCTGCAAAGTATTTCTTATCTTGAGAACACCAGAAGTAATTTCAAGTAGCTGATGAAACTTGAACTTGGCCGGAAAAGGAATGCTGTTGCTGATGGTTTTAACAGTGTACAGCTTTATTTGATTAAATGAAGCCATTTTAATCCAAGATAAAATCAAATTAATTCATTGCTCAAGCTTAGCTACTTATTAGTATGCAATCAAAATTTCAATATGTATAAATAAATTTCAATTCATATTTTATTCTCAGCAAGAAACATGCATTCTTCATTCCATCAGCTATTAAGCTTTATTCATTTCATACGCGCCAAAATGTAATTTCAAAAAGTCTTGCTAATCTGTTTTTTAAATAAATGCATTACAATTTTTTTTCATTCAATCCAATTAAGCATTGTCAAAATTGTTTATTAATAAAATATTTCCATCAGCTGTACTTAAACTTTATTTAAAAAACTTTTCTTTTTCGAAAAAATTGCTTAAACTTGCCAGAACATTTCTGAAATTGACCGAGATGTACTGGTCACGATCAACTCGAGTATGAGTATGCAGAAAGCCCAGAGCATGGCCAATTTCATGTGTAATTGTGTGGATCTAAAAATTTGAAAAATAAATAAAATGTTAAGCTGGTAATCACTTGCCAATTATACAATGTAATCTGAAAATCTGCATGATTTATTTGAAATGGTAGACAAACTAATATACATGTTCACATCTCCATCCAACCGATAGTGGTTGTTCTTTCCATTCCCAAATTCTACCAATATAGCTAAAACAACCTGATCCCTGGAAAATTCATCAGCATTTTTGTTAGCAGTAAACACTGTGTATTCAAATTTTCGATATCAGCAAAAAATTGTGATTTAATTATAACAAAATGCGATTTAAAGCTAACTGATAAATAAATGCACCGGGCATTTTACACTTCTTTGGGATTGAAATTTGGCGCTACTTGATTAATCACGCTCAACTTATTTGAAATTCCAATTTGACATGATAATTCAAGCCTTTTTGCTTTACGAAACAACAAATAAGACTCAATTAATGGTAAAAAATAAGAAATTTGTCACTAATTTTGTAGATAATTTTTTCTATGTGTGAAAATTATCTTATTGATCACGTAATAATGATATGATCATCCTTTATCACTATTGTTTATTGTGCTCTGTATTGAACATTGCGCGTTTTTAACGAGAATAGCTTCGGTTTTTAATAAAGAGCATAATAGAAATTGAAAATATTGACCAACTCGAATAAAAATAAGTGAGCTTTTCTCGCGAGTTGCCGGTACAAATGTAATGCAAGTTTGACTTTCCCAGAATTTCATTGATTTCAGAATGATGCTTCTGGCATGCATTGCTAAAAAGGAGCTTAGATTAAAGTATATTTATTGCATTTACTTTAAATATAAAATGATTGATATGCCAATTTCGATCAACAATTGCGGCAGCACTGATTTGAAATTGTGAAGCAACAAATGTCTAGAAATCAGAACGTTTAATATTTCAGATTAGAAGCTTACAGAGATTGGATGACAAAGTATAAGGTACAACGCCATTTTTCCAGAAAAACTTGGGGTAGTCTCGACCCTGATATGCTTGTCGTTTCTGTCGTCCCAAAAAATTTGCATTCAGACTAGATGTGTGATTCCACAGTTCTTCTTGTTGCCTTAAAGTCAAACTTTGATATCATTTATCCATTCCCGTTCTTCCCGAATAAAATTTCAGCCTACTGATGCTAGAAGAAAAATTATCAAAGTTAAACTTTTGTAGTTTTTCAGCGATTGAGAATCTTTGTTCTTCAACGATAATGAGCTTAACAGCTATATTGAGGTTTATTAAATTTGAGTCAATGCAGTGTTTGTAGCTGCTGTTAATTATACGCGAGCTTTATTTATTATTAAAGATCAAAGGGATTTTATCATGCATAAATACTGTGACTTCATTATCCCATTTTGAATTTGATCAACATCGCACTTAAAATGATGGCATTGCTGTTTTAAAATCTATCATACTTTCATTATTATAATTGATGTGAAAATAGTGCAGTGTTATTGAGTGATAAACCAGCAAAAATAGTAATAAATCTGCAGTGATAGTGGGCTGAACTGATGTTATTTTGCTAAAATTAATTGTTGACCACAACAATTATCAGTTATTAACAAGCGTACTATCCGAACTTTAATGAATGCTTTTGCTGCTCATAAAAATAAGTATTCAGTCATAAAGCTTTTAGGCATTTTAATTAAAAATAGTCCTTTTATTATTCGTTGCATGATACTGCTAGAAACTTTTTCAACACTTAGTCTGTCAGATTTGTTAGGAAGCAAATTAATCTACCTGGAAAAAGTACCTATGACTTATGAGAAAGTTTTAACAGCCATTAAATTTCATTTTGTTTTATGGTCTAATTCACTTCCTAATATAAACATAATTGTTTTAGTAGCCTTTCGCAAACTTGCTGCGAAAATTGTTAAAAATCTTGCAATAATCTGTGAATTTCCATCAATTTTGCACAAAATTACAAAATAAACTTTGTAAGTACGATGTCGCCTTCATGGATTCGCATGTTTTTATTACCCAATTGTACGGTGAGCATTTTATCACTGCTTCTGCAACTGATTTTTTCATTTCCATCAGACACTTCAGATGTCACTTTTCCAAAATTTTCTTCATTTATCTCTCGCTGAAATTAGATAACCCTAAGAAAGTACAACAAATAAGTTTGGCAAAAAAGTTTGGGTAAATCAGTACGTTGCGAATTTCGTTCTGTGCAATAAATATCAAAAGTGTTGCCTTGTGTATTTTCGTTAATATCTGAAGTAATTTGGATGATCACAAGTTTCCTGTGAGTCTACAGAAATATTACAATTTTTTGATCAAACAAAATTAGTTATGCTTCCTGCAAGTAAAGACCTTGACAAATATTTTAGAAAGTTTAATAGTTCTAAAGATACGTTTTTTTTGTTTTCGAATGAATTTGGCAGCACTTTTTCTTGAGCTAAATGTCATCATTTCAACTAGTGAGACTTCAATGAAATAAAAGTTTTCGGTCAGATTACTCAATGTGTTGTTCCTATCTACCTCACAAAACTTGCTGCATTTTTGAAATAAAATAGCATCAATAGTTGCAAATATCTTAAATGCTTAAACAATTAATTTGCAAAGAAGAATCGAGCCACAATTTACTGAACTGAAATAAAATTTGGCGCAACAGATATTTTTAAAATTTTCTCAAATTTCGCTAATAATACTTGGGGTTTTGTTAAAAAAATATGTAGCTAGCATTCTTAATTTATTATTTCATTTGCGATTCAGAAACAAAGTGAATTTTTTACTTCTGGTCGGCATTCAAAATGTTCAATAGGTTGAAGCAATTAGCGATTGCAATTAGCGATTGGGTTTCGTTAAAAAAATATGTAGCTAGCTTCACAAATTTTGAATAAATGCGCACGAAAATAAAAATTAAATAATAAAAAAGTATAAGAATGCTACATATTAAAAATAACATTTTTAGTGTAGTTAATTCAATGAGTAGATTAAAAATTATGGAGGTAATTTTTGTAATCTGCTGAAACTGACACTTCCAAGTTAGCTCAATATATTCAGCAGTTGACTTATTTTTAATAATTAGTAATCCTTGCTTAGATCTACATTGATTTTGTATATTTTGATGCTAAATTCACATATTATTATTATTTGCCAAGCGCATTTTTACTTTCAGCCACGCTTTCGTTAAAAATTGCTCCTTTCTAACTGCACTGAGTAATATCAAAATGATCATACCAATGCAGGAACAATCATTTCTTGAGTAAAGTAACTCAAATTGAGGATCAGGGCCAAAAGTAATGAGCATCGCTGTACTGCAGAAGACATTTCTTATTTCAGCTGAAAATTTTAAATCAAAAAAACAAATGATTTTAGCACAAACTTGCGAGATCTGATTAAATTTATATTTTGATGACAACACGTTTCGATTACTTTTAAATATGAACTTCAATTTAAAAAAAACTTCAGATCATGACAAAAATTTCAGTGCTTAAATTATTATCTAATAATTTCAGAATTAAAGTAACAAAAATAATAAGATCGAGTAATGAGAAAAAAGTGAAGAAAAAAATTGTCTTTGGTGATGGAATTCGATTGCAACAATTTGTACCGTTGCTGCAATTAAGTGTTTGACAATTTGTTGCAAACTGCAAACAATGAAAATTACGCTTGATCAAACTTTGTTTTATACTCATGGCCAACTGAAAGGCTTCTGCGAGGACAAAGGTCATGCTCAGCCTAGCAGCTGTCAGGTTGCATTTTTGATTCAATTAACGAAGCAGTGACATTTTCCAGTTATGAAAATTAATTTCTGGTTTCTGCTCTCGATGAGTAAGTTTACAAGATGAGCAACAGAGTAAAGACTGCAACTACTTCCTAACAATCTTTGATTTTTTCCGTAGTTCTTAAAGATAGGCAGTATTTATAGCCAGTAAAGTTAGCCATGTCGTCACTGCGTGATTTCTCGATCAGAGTATCAATACGAAATTGATTCATAAGAGTATGTCATCAGAGAACACAGTCACGAGAAAAATTGCGGCAGTTAACAAAACAAACTCTGATTTTGATTCCATGAAATTTACTGGTAAGTTATCATTACGTCATCGAGAAAGCATTTTAAATCAAATTAACATGGTGTGGAACTAGTTTCAGTATTTTTCTAAAAAGTGTAAACTCACTTCTTGTATATTTTCCCCAGCTGAGGAAGCAAGGTTTGTCATTCATAAGCTGAAAGTTATTTCAGCAAAGTTTGATTTTCGAAAACTTGAGAATTATTCAGTTCATCCCAGCCACATTGAGACATTTTGCAGAAAAATTTGATAAAGCATTGTAGTTTTTTGAACAAAAAGTGGTCTACTGTTGCTTGTTGTTTTTACTGATGCAACGGCGGGAAGAACCAAATGTAGGCATTAACTTTCGGCAACAACACTAGCAGTTCGATCTCAAATTGCTAGCAACTGAAAAAGTCGTTTAAAAATTGTTTGGTACTTTTTTCAGAAGCAAATAATCCGGAAAAATAGTCCGGTGAGGGCTGTGAAGTTATTTGCGCAATTTGCGAACCAAATTCCGATGTTCTTAATTTTAGCTGCAAAAAATTTGAGTTTAGCAATTATCACACAACTTGAATAATTGTCTTTTTTCAAACTTTCTTTTGCATTTAATATATTATTTCATTGAATAATATACAAAGTTTGTTCTATTTTTGTCCCTACAATGAACTGAATTAACTGAGACTGAACTAAAGTCAGAAACATCACTAAAAAGTTTCGCACTTCTTAAAATTCATTGAGCACTACTTATTAGATATTGAAAATGCTAAAAAATAATAATGAAGTTGTGTACTTCCAAGCAGAAAGTAACTGATATTTGCACCAGCTCAGAGTTCAGAGAACTGTGCTATCACGAAAGCTGCAAAATCGAGTCAAAATACTCTTGTACACTGTAAAATCTAAATTTCAATCAAATTTTTGCATGAAACAATTGACAAAGTATTGCATTTATCGCTGAAATACACTTTGTTGCAAACACATGACTATACTTTGCATTACACTACATACATGATTATACTATACACATGATTATACTATACACATGATTATACTATATACATGGTTACACTTTTGTTCTACTTTGACATTTTTGTGAGATCAAAAATGCATCTGTGAATGTCAAAATTTTTTGCAATTAATGCATTTTTATTCTTTTGCATTCCTTTTATGTATTCGTTCATAAAACTGAGATCAGAATAAGCTTTTATTTACAAAACAATTTTGTGCACAATTCACTAATAATAGAGAATTATTATTGCTCCCAAAAGATGCTATCAGACAAAGTGATGAGGCAGTAATGTGTTATAATGAAATTATCAAATAAGTTATTGCTATTCTAATTATTATCAAACAGCATTATAGTTTTTAATAGTATAGAATAGCATAGATTTTTTTATTTGCATGAGATAAAAATTTTTTCGGCCTGAAAAAACTAAAATAAAATGTTGATCTGCAAATCTTTTCATAATCACATCGAGTGGAACTTCTATGTATCAAATATTTACTGCGTCAATTTAAAATTGAATTTTTTAATTTATTCATTATTTTATATTGTGTTTGAATTCAAGAGCTAAAAAAGTTTGGCTCCGAAATGCAAGAATTGCATTTACAAGTACTGAGCAATAGTGCCATCTTGAATATTTGCTTTTAAGCTTTAAAAACAAAATCTTTTTCATGGAGTCATGACTCATTTTATCATGTGCAATCGTTGTTAACTCTAATATTTTAATTATATCTAAATAATCGTGATAATTTTTCTTGAATCACACTGCTAAATGCTTGTATAAAATATGTTTTCTAAATATTGCAACTACTAAAGTAGCTCAAGACTGCAAAAAGTTTGAATCAACAACTTCTGATGTAAAAATTAATTTAAGTAACTAGTTAGTTTTATTCCAAGTATTTTCACCTGTGAAACCCTTTTAAGAGTGGTTCTATAGATCAAAGTGGCATTTCTAATAAATTTTACTAATTAATAAATTTTGCCAAATTTGGCTACATGCGTGGATAACAATCCCATCAAGTCTGCAACTTTTATCACTATTTTAAATTAATTAATACAAAGTTCAGCTGATTTTAATCAATATTTTTGGACCTGAACTTTGTATTAATTAATTTAAAATTAATTAGTTTTTGTTAAGATAACTGCAAAATTTGTGACTGATTTAGTGTTGATCTAAGTGGCAGCCATTCCTATCATAAAAAATGAGAATAACTTTAATGAATTTTTATTCTCATTTTTACTTTTTTATAACGAACGGATGAAAAAGGACTTTATTTTTTTCTTTGAAGAAGACTTAGTGTTTTTTTCCACTGAATAACTAATTTTTGTAGAGACGAGATTCTCATCTCTCAGCAAGGCGAGGATTAGATTCAACTTAAGTTTCTTCATTTAATAAGTGAGTAAATAAAATTTTCGACGGTCTTAGCAAAAATTTAGTCATCCATTCACATTATCAAATTTTTTGATTAGTAATAAATTGGTCACACGCAAAATGAATTACCTAGTGAACTTCCTATCAGCTATTATTATTTGAATTTATCTACAAGTTTAGTATGATGACTGAAAAAAAATGCAAATTTGACGTAAATTAAATTGAGCCATTTTTTGGTGATCAAAAATGGAAATTTTAATATGACTTTGGATTGAGTAGAAAAAAACTTGATTTTATTAGTGTTCATTCAGCTGAAAAATTAAGTCTTCTCGCAAGGCTTTCAATTCCGAAAGAAATAATGGAAAAATTCCATTTTTATGATCGTTTGATGGAGTTTAATTTTTAAGTACTCTTCTCATTTTTCTAATATCTGATCAGAATTGACTTTGCAAACAATTTGTTTAAAATTACAAAATTAAGCAAAAAAAAAGACAGATCAACGGAAATCATTACAAAACAAAAAATATTGAAAATTCAAGAAGATCAGCTGAGATCATATTTGAATCGAATTGAATGGGATCTGAGGGATTTGTTGTATAAGCATTATCACTTAATGCTACATAGAA